GCACACGCCCTCCGCTGGGCACACATGCCCTCCCCCAGGCCGGGCCCCCCGCACGCACACGCCCTCCCCCGGGCCGGGCCCCCCGCGCGCACACGCCCTCCCCCGGGCACACATGCCCTCCCCCGGGCCGGGCCCTCGCTCTTACGGTTGCAAAGAAAATCTTGTAGCCCAGGATTCCAGTGCAACTGGGACAGCAGCTGCCTGGGTTTGCAGGGAGCCAGACAGGTCCCGCTCCTTTCCCCAAGGACGACACAGCTCTCAGGGCCTGGCTGCTCCCCACAGCTGGTCAGAAGCAGGAGGGGCCAGAGCAGAAGCGGCCCCAGGCACTGGCAGCCTCTACCAGTGGGGGAAGGGGGGGACATGGGGTAACTGCTCCAGGGGCTCAGCTCGCAGGAGCTGCTGGCCAGTGATCCTCACTGAGCAGAGAGGCTATGCCCCCAGTCCTGCCCCGAGTGGAGCTAGTCCATAGCTTGGGCTGGCCCAGCCAGGTCCATGCTGGTCCCGGTAGCCAGCCGGGCTTGGATCACAGCCGGGCTTAGCTAGTCACCGCACTGCAGATCCCCTACCCCCAACCAGGGAGGTGTCCCCGAAATTCCTTCATGGGGAGTTCGTGAGCCTGCAGAGCTCCCAGGGCTCCTGCCTGGGGGGGAAGGGAAGGGCAGCGCCCCCATCAGGGCAGGAAAGGCCGATCCGCGTGGAGAGCTTCAGCCGGAGAGCAGCTGACCCCAGCGGGGGCCCTGCCTGACGCATTGCCACTGGCTCACCGGAGGCTCTCTGGTCTCTCCAGGGCAGCAGAGCCCTTGGGGTTGGGAGGGGCCAATAGCTCCCCGTCGTGTATCCCCAGACATGATCCAAGCCGGCTCTTTGGCTCCATGGTGGACCGGGGTGCATCGGGTTCTGCGAGCGGCTGGCACTCGGGTCACAGGCTGCTCCCAGGGAGCGGGCAGCTTTGACCACTGACTATGAGTGGGCACCAGGCCCCCTAAGTTCCTATCTTCCCCCTCCCCAGCCCACTCCCCCTCCTGTCTGCCCTAGCCTGCCCCTTCTCCCTGGGGCTCTCACCTCTGTGCAGACATGTCCACCTGCCCGGAGACATCGGCGACACGGACATCGCGGGAGCAGTACGCCGTCAGCTGCCGGATCATCTGCAGCACCTGCTGGCCCAGCTCCTTGGTGGGCACCAGGACCAGCCCACGCACCGCCTGCTCCATCACCAAGGGGGACTGGAGGATAAGGGTCAGGGTCAGACACCAGTTGGGCACCCACGGCCTGCCATGCACTCAGTGGGATGTCCCGGGGTATCTCGCTGGAGAGGATACAATGCCTCTGCCCCAGGGATGGACACTGCCCCAAGCCAGGCACTGCACCCATTCCAGGGCAGCCCCCCCCCCAGGTGCTACCATCTCCTGTTACACAGCAACGGCCTTGGGGCTCGAGAGGGCACCACGCTGCTGGAGAGCCAGGTTCTGATCTGATGCACCAGGGCACCCAGGCTGCCCGCAGCAGAGACCGTCCCCGTCCCTCCACCCAGGGCACCTTGGCATGAGCAGCAAAAGGGGCCCATGCGGGCTGAGGGGCACAAGGACCCAAGCTGCTCTCCCAGGGACTCAGGGTTCCCGCTGCCCAAGCCAGTGGGGCTCCTAACAGGATCAGGCCTGGACCCAGTGCAGTGAGGGGCTCCCCCAAGAAGCCTGCCCGAGCCGTTAGTTGTGCCCCCGGGGACAGACATACCATCTTCACTTGGAGCAAGTGCTGGAGGAGGGGGATGGCATAGGCGGCCGTCTTCCCAGAGCCAGTCCTAGCCCGGGCCAGCAGGTCCTTGCCCTCCAGGGCCAGCGGAATGGCCTTCTCCTGGATCAGTGTGGGCTTGGCCCAGCCCAGCTCAGCGATGGCCTGCGGGGATGAATGGAGGGAGCCTGGTAGGAACCCCAGAGAGCAGCCAAAGCGTCTGGGGCACAAGGGGGGGGGGCGGCTCTGTAGGGCCCTTCCAGCCCCTCGGTCAGCTGAGACTAGAGCACTCAGTGCCCTGGGCTCTTCCCACTGGGGGGGTGGGAGGGCACGCAAGTAGCCAGGCTCTATGCCCAAGTCTTAAGGCCCCCACCACAGCCAGCAGCTGGCAGCCCAGATCGCATGGAGCTTTGTCAAGGGGATGAATTTCACCCCAGCCCCATCACCCCATGCCACAGAGCAGGGGACACACCCACAGCTCCACACACCTGGGTGGCAGGGCCAGGAACAGAACCCCAGCACCCTGACAGCCAGGCCAGCGCTCTAGCCACTAGGCCATGCTCCCCACAGCACAGCTGGGGGGATACCAAGAAGAGCAGGGGGGAAGGGTCACATCATCACCCCCCCACACACACACACACCCACACACACCCAGGGCAGCAGCTGGGCATTGCCAGGGGACCCAGGCACCGAGGGGGATGCGATTGGTGGGACGCGCCTGATCCCTCGCTGAGACACCCCCCATGGACACAGGGAGGGCGGGGGTCTCCTGTAGCCTCTGCAGGGAGAAGGGCCTCCCGGCTTCGTGCCTCCCACCCTGCCCTGGGGGCGGCACTGGCTGGACCCCATGGTCCTCTCCTGGCTCTGGGAGGGGCTAGGGATTGCGGGGGGGGGGGCAGGACTCCTGGGTTCCCTCCCCAGCCCAGGGAGGGGCCGGGGTGGGTGGGTCCGGGGGGAATCTAGTGGTTAGAGCTGGGGGCGGGGGAGCTGGGAGCCAGGGCTCCTGATTTCCCGCCCGGCCCGGGGGCCGGTACCTGCAGCAGCCGCCCGTCCAGCCCCATGTGCGCGAAGCTCGGCTCCGGCTCCATCTCCAGCCTACGCTGCCCGCCTGTCCTCCCCCGACTCAGGGCGCATGCGCCACTTGCAGTGCGGAAGCACCATAAAGGCGCAACCACGCGACTAGAGCGTCCCCCGTCTTCCGTCTGCTGCCCCCTGGGCAGGAGATGAGTCCTGCACCCCGAGGGGAGGAGCCCCACCCCCACAACCCCTGCCTGGGGCGGGAGGGGGCAGGAGCAGAGCGCTAGCGAGGGCCCATTGGCCAGGGAGGGGGAGCCCCCTGCTCTGACCCCTGGCCCCTACTCCCCTCCCAGAGCCAAGGACAGAACCCAGGGATGCCGGGTTCCACCCAGCCACCTAGCTAGCCGGGGTGGCATCAAAGGCATTGCTACAAGCCAGGGGCCGCGCAGGGAGAAACCACAGGATGGTGGCTGGTTCCGACGCCTGGCTCCACCCCAGCCGCTCCCCGGGGCCGGTTCTGACCCAGCTGTCCCACCACTCCCGGGCCAGTTCCGATGCCCAGCTGCAGCACAGCCACTCTTCACTCCAGTGTTGCCAACTCTCAGCAGTCTGATGATACCTGATGTTTAGTAAAGCACCTACTCCTGGAGTCAGGTGATTGTGTAAGTTTCTACCAGTCATGTTGGTAGAGAAAAGCTGGGAAATCCCTTGCCTAACAGCTCAGAGACATGAAGGCAAAGAAAAAGAACCAACTTAGAGCATTTTGGTTAAGCTGGGGCCAGATTCGTGGTGTTTAGGCACCATGGGCTGACTCCACGTGGATCCAGGCCATTTTACAACTAGTTTACTTGTATTGTGGCAGCACCCAAATGCCATTACAGATCAGGGTCCCCACTGTTTTATAGATTTCAAGGCCAGAAGGAACCAATGTGAGCAGCTATGCTGACCCCTGCATAACCCAGGCCCTAAAACTTCCCTGAATTAATTCCTGTTTGAAGTAGAGCAGATCGTGTAGAAACACATCCAGTCTGTTTTTAAACATTGCCGGTGATGGAGAATGCACCACGAGCCTTGGGAAATTGTTCTAGTGGTTAATTACCCTCCCTATTAAAAATATGCATCTTATTTCCAGTCTGAATTTGTCTAGCTTCAGCTTCCAGCCATTGCGCTGCTACATCTTTACCCGCTAGATTGACAAGCCCTGCTGAATTTGTTCCCCATGTAGGTGCTTATAGACTATGATCCAATCACCCCTTAGCCTTCTCTTTGTTGAGCTAAATAGACTGAGCTCCTTGAGTCTCTCATTACGAAGCAGGTTTTCTAATCCTTTAATCATTGTCTTGGCTTTTCTCTGCCCCCGCTCCAATTAATCACCATCCTTCTTGAACTGTGGGCACCAGAACTGGGCACTGGATTCCAGCAGCGCTCGCACCAGCGCCAGTTACAGAGATAAAATAAACTCTGTGCTCCAGATAATGTTTATGCATCCCAGGTTCACATTAGCTCTTTTGGCCCCAGTGTGTCACTGGGAGCTCATGTTCAGCTGACACCTCCACAAGTCCTTTTCAGTCACTGCTTCCCATGATGAAGTCCCCTGTCACGTAAGTATGGCCTGCATTCTTTGTTGCTAGATGTAGAACTTTATATTCACTCATATTAAAATGTGTATTGCTTGCGCCCAGCTTACCAAGCGATCCAGCTGGCTCTGTATCAGTGACCTGTCCTCTTCGTTACTTACCACTCCCCCACCGTTTGGGGCACCTGCAAACTGCATCAGTGATTTTATTCTTTTCCAGGCCATTGATAAAAATATGAAACAGCCCAGGGCCAAGAACTGATCCCTGCAGGACCCCACAGGAAACACCAGAGAGTGATTCCCCGAGGGGGAGGATGTACTCTAGCATGTACCTCATCACATACCCCTTTTGCTGTTCTTACTGCATGTCAGTTGTGAGCGATTCACACGGGGTCACTGTGGCTGCGATTGTGTCTACATTCTGGGGTCATGTCCGTAGGTGAGCACAGGCATCTCCCCTCTCTTCCCGCATGCTTTGTGGCTAGCTGTTGAGCTCAGAACAGCTCCTGTTGTGACCCAAGACCTTCGTAATGGCATTGACAAGGGGCTTACAGGTATATCCTGACTGGTCTGTACAGGCTGGTTCACCAATGGATGTCAGGTGAGGGTTCATATGAAAGCCAGGGTCACACTGCTCCTTAGCATCGGCGTGAAATGTACACCTGTATAGCCTGTAACGAGTTAGGTACATAGACTGAAAATATGTTGTCAGAGTCTGCAGCAAAGTACGAGGCACTAGCAGAGGTGAAAAGCAGGTTTTCTGTCAGACAAGAGAGATTTATTCCCCTCGCAAAACGCACTCAAATGTTAACAAAGAGATGTGAAGTCAACAGGAATGGAGCATGCAAGCCTGGAGGCAAGGGGGGAGAGGGTTATCCTGTCCATAAGCAAAGACAACTAACTTGGGGGAGGATTTCTAGAAGGCGGAGAATACCCTCCACCCGGGAAGTAAACAGACTGCACGGTTGCATTCATGAAAACTGGCTCAGCCAACCTTGGCTGAAACGCTGCAGAGGGCTTTGGGTGAGAAACTTCTCTAGAGAGGAAGTTAATCTGGTGGGATGCTCGAGAAAGCAGGTTATGATTGTGTTATGTGTGTAACCATTTGTTCAATTTGTTAGTCTCTAAGGTGCCACAAGTACTCCTGTTCATTTGTTCACTGTCACCTCAATCTCACGTTTTTGATAAACTTCGATTTAGTGTGAAAACAAGACCATCTTTACAAAACCTAAATCCATTTTCTTCACAGCATGTTGGAGTGGGGCTCGGTGCTAGGCACTGTACACAGGGGCCTCCCCAAAGAATTTACTGGGGTTGTTTTTCTAGGGTCTCCCCCATTTCCCCAGCAGTAGAAACAGCCAGACAGAGAACTCAGAAACCAGCCCCAGTCCAATAACCATCCCCCAGCACGCGAGTTACCAGAAGAGGTTTTATTTCACTCCAAAATCGTAACAAAGAACATCTGTTATGAATTCTCCCTGCAGCATGGGGGCTGGGCCCAGGCAGAACCAACCCAATTCGGTCGTACCATGGGGGAAGGAGAAAACATCAAACTGCATTTCAGATTTACTGCATCTTAACTATACCAGGGCGGCCCCACACCCATCTGCCTTCACCACCATAAATACCAAAAGGGAGGGGAGTGTCCACTGACACTGGCCGCTTCCCCCTGCCACACAACAAAGCTGGGAAGAAACTCCAGGGGAAAGCATCCACTACAATGTACTTCACCCCCCAGTAGACCCAGCGCCAACCCAGTTGAAGGAGGGTGCAAGGAGCCTGGGATCTCAGACGAAACTGAACAGGTCACATGCCGGGGGCAAGACAGGCCGATACAGCTTGGCATGGGGCCGGCCCTAGAGGGCTAAATTCAGCTTTTCCTTCCTGAGCACTCCTGGCCACAGTCAGAGCATCTCTAGTCTCTTATGGGGGACTGGAGCAGATGACCTGGGAGAGAGGAAGTGGAGTCTGGCCTCCCCTGCAGGTAAGGGGCAGGGCGCCAGGGGAAAGAAGAGGCCGTGCCACTGTCCTGGGCTGCAGTTATCAAAATAGATTCTGGTATAAAATAGCGGCTGCCCCTCACCTCTCCTCGCACCCAAGAGCTGAAATACACACACCGGGTGCGAAGCCGCCGACCAAATGCACCCCACTCCCTAATGCCTCAGCTATCGGCAACAGGCGGGATGAACCAGAGCGAAACAGGTGCCAGGTGGGTAAAGGACAGGGCATCAGGGCACTAGCAACTGGAGGGAGAGCAGCACAGATGGCACCCCGTGCGAGGACAGAGCGACCTCTGCCCAGGCTGGCACACCCCTGATGCCCTGCCAGTAGCAAGGCAGATCAGTGCCAAGCCCCCAGGAGGAGCTGCTAGCCCCGTCTGGCAAAGCACCAGAGGCAGCAAGACAGCCAGGATCTGGCCTCCTGCTGCCAACACAGCAAGATGCCTGGTGGCCAGGCTGGCTAATCATGGCCCCCCAAGGGGCTTGGGAGCATGGTGCTGCGAAAGCCAGCAGGTACCCGTGCTTCCCAGCTCCAGTGCGATTCAGTGCCTACCTATGCCCAGAAGGGGAGGGGCAGCGAAGGGCATGCCAGCATGGGGGGGGGGGCAGGGGTAGTGGAGGGGGGAGGGCGCTGCAGTGGCAATTGGAGAGGTCGGGGATTAAACCAGTTTCTTGGCCTCGAAGAAGCTCTTGAGGTGTCTCATCTGCCAGATGCCAGTGAGGATGAGGATGATGGTCTGGGCAATGGACCACCACAGCACCCGCTGGTTGGTGCTCTCGCTGGTCATGCGGAACCGCTCCTCCCGGTACTGTGGGGGGAGCAAATGGGAAGAGGAGTCAGAGCGGATGGGGAACCCTCCCCAATCCCTGCCCCCCAGGCACAATGCCACCCCCCCTCGGCAGGCCCCTCTCAATCTCGCCCCAAAGGGGATCACTGCCCCTGCTACTGCGCAGCCAGCATATGGCGCCCTCTTCACGTGCACAAGCAGGCACCCCCACACTTACTGCCCCCCACCAATGGCTTCCATACCAGGCAGGTCTCCCACATGCACACTTACATCCCCTGCCAACAGCTTCCAGATTAGGCAGGCACCAACCCACTCAGTCCCCAATGGTCCCAGGTGTGACACAGACCAGGATCAGGTGAAGCAGAGGGGGCGGGCACTGCCATCCTATGCCCAGCTGCCTCATGTCACCCCCACTCCTAATGAATCCCACCTCATCCAGCCACAATCCGAAGCACATCTCACATGGCCTCATGTTTTGCCAAAGGGGCAAAGTGTGTGTTTTCAGCCTGTACGTCCCCCTAATGAGCCCTCTCTGCCATGGCCACTGGGCTGGCTTTCCTGCCACAGTTCCCTGTCCCAGCCCTATGCAGATTCCAAGAACGCCAACCAGCACTCAGCGAGCAGGTGTTACAACCCTGAACTCTCTGGGGAGAGTTGTGGGGGGGGGATGGACAGTCACCTCAGTAACCCTCAAGAGCCCCACACCCACATACCCCGGGGCCCCTTACCCTT